GGAAGGGGAGAGGAGGGGAGGAGATGAGATGGGAGGGGAGGGGAGAGAAGGGGAGGGGAGGGACTGGGCTTTCTAGCCTCCAACATAGGAAATAGTCAAGTGCAATAGATCTTCCTAGGGTACTTCTAAGCATAATAGAAATGCATGAGATTTCATTTTCCCTTCTAGGGGTAAAGTGTTCAGCTGTAATTTTTAAAAACATAAAAATCACTTTATTGATGTTTCATAATTATGAAGTAACACATAATCAATGGAAAGTATTTACATGAATTTTAACAAAAAAATAAGATTATGTATATGATAGAATAAAGGCATTAATGTGTAACATTTTGTTTCCTTTAGTAAGAAAAAGATCCAAAATGCACATAGTTGTTTTGCCAGTGAAAAGAAAAACTTCTTATTTCCATCAGCTTTTATTTAAGTTCAGGGGTACATGTGCAGGTTGTGCAGACTTGTCACATGGATAAACGTGCGCCTTGATGGTTTGCTACACAGATCTCCTCCCATCACGTAGGCATTAAGCCCAGCATCCATTAGCTATTCCTGATACTGTCCCTCCCCCAACACCACCCCACAGACAGGTCCCAGTGTGTGTTGTTCCCCTCCCTGTTTCCATGTGGTCTCATGATTCAGCTCCCATTTTTAAGTGGGAACATGCAGTGTTTGGTTTTCTGTTCCTGTGTTAGTTTGCTGAGAATATCAGTTTCCAGTTCCATCCATGTCTCTAAAAGAGACGTGATCTTGTTCCTTTTTATGGCTGCATAGTATTCCGTGGTGTATGTGTACCACATTTTCTTGATCAAGTCTAACATTGATGGGCATTTGGGTTGATGCCATGTCTTTGATATTGGAATAGAACTGCAGTGAACATATGTGCACATGTATTGTTATAATAGAATGATTTATATTCTTTTATACCCAGTAATGGGATTGCTGGGTCAAATGGTATTTATGGTTCTACATCTTTGAGGAATAACCATATTGTCTTCCGCAGTGGTTGAACTAATTTACGCTTCCACCAACAGTGTAAAAGTGTTTCTTTTTCTCTGCAACCTCACCAGCATCTGTTCTTTCTTGACTTTTTAATAATAGCCATTCTGACTGGTATGAGATGGCATCTCATTGTAGTTTTGATTTGCATTTGTCTAATGATCAGTGAAGTTGAGCTAATTTTCCCATTTGTTGACCACATAAATGTCTTCTTTTGCGAAGTATCTGTTCATGTCCTTTGCCCACTTTTTAATGGGATTTCTTTTTCTTGTAAATTTGTTTAAGTTCTTGTAGACTTAATATTAGACCTTCATCATATGGATAAGTTGCAAATATTTTCTCCCATTCTGTAAGTTGTCTGTTCGCTCTGGTGACAGTTTCTTTGGCTGTGCAAAAGCTCTTTGGTTTAATTAGATCCCATTTGTCAATTTTTGCTTTTGTTGCAATTGCTTTTGGTGTTTTCATCATGAAATCTTTGCCCATGCATATGTCCTGAATGGTATTGCATACAATTTTCTTGTAAAATTTTTGCAGCAAATGTAAAACCCAAAACCATAAAAATCCTAGAAATGTTTAATCCATTTTGAATTAATTTTTGTATAAAGTGTAAGGAAGGGGTCCAGCTTCAATTTTCTGCATATGGCTAGCCAGTTCTCTTGGCACCATTTATTATAAAATCATTTTCCCATTGTTTGCTTTTGTCAGTTTTGTCAAAGATCAGATAATTATATGTGTGCAGTCTTGTTTCTAAGTTCTCTATTCTATTCCATTGGTCTACGTGTCTGTTTTTGTACCAGTACCATGCTGTTCTTGTGCCAGTACCATGCTGTTTTGGTTACTGTGGCCTTGTACTATAGTTTGAAGTCAGGTAGCATGATATATCCAGCTTTGTTATTTTTGCTTAGGATTTTGTTGTATGTTTTGGTTCTTTTTTGTTTCTATGTGAATTTTACAATAGTTGTTTTCTAATTTTGTAAAGAATGTCAATGATAGTTTAATGGGAATAGCATGGAATCTATAAATATTTTGAGCAGTATGTCTGTTTTCATGATACTGATTCTTCCTATCCATGAGCATGGAATGTTTATATTCGTTTGTGTCCTCTCTGATTTCTTTGAGCAGTGATTTGTAGTTCTCTGTGAAGAGGTCCTTCACATCCCTTGTTAGCTGTATTCCTAGGTATTTTATTCTTTTTATAGTAATTGTGAATGGGAGTTCATTCATGATTTGGCTTTGTTGTTGGTGAATAGGAATAGTATGATTTTGGCACATAGCTTTTTTATCCTAAGACTTTGCTGAAGTTGCTTATCAGCTTAAGAAGCTTTTTGGGTGAAATGATGGGATTTTCTGGATATAGAAGTATGTCAACTGCAAACAGGGATAGTTTGATTTTCTCTCTTTCTATTTGAATGCTCTTTATTTCTTTCTCTTGCCAGATTGCCCTGACCAAAACTTCTAATATTATGTTGAATAGGAGTGGTGAGAGAGGGCATCCTTGTCTTGTGTCGGTTTTCAAGAGGAACACTTCCAGCTTTTGCTCATTCAGTATGATATTGGCTGTGGGCTTATCATATATAGTTCTTATTATTTTGAGGTATATTTCTTCAATACTTATTTTATTCAGAGTTTTTAACATGAAGTATGTTGAATTTTATCAAAGGTCTCTTCTGCCTCTATTGAGATAATCATGTGGTTTTTGTTGTTGTTGTTTGTTTGTATTTTGTCTTTAGTACTGTTTATGTGATCAATTACATTTACTGATTTGCCTATGTTGAACCAACCTTGCATCCCAGGGATGAAGCTGACTTGATCATGGTGCATATGCTATTTGATGTGTTGCTGGATTTGGTTTGCTAGTGTATTATTGACAATTTTTGCATTGCTATTCATCAGGGATATTGGCCTGAAGTTTTCTTTTTTTGTTGTATCTCTACCAGGTTTTCATATCAGGATGATGCTGGCCTCATAGAATGAGTTAGGGAGGAGTCCCTCCTTTTCAATTTTTTGGAATAGTTTCAGAAGCTCTTCTTTGTACCTCTGGTAGAATTCTGCTGTGACTCTTTCTTGTCCTGGGCTCTTTTGGGTTGTAGGCCATTTCTTATGCCTCAATTTTAGAACTCATTATTTGTCAATTCAGAGATTCAATTTCATCCTGGTTCAGTCTTGGGAGGGTGTATGTGTCTAGAAATTTATCCATTTCTTCTAGATTTTCTAGTTTATATGCATACCGGTGTTTATAGTTTTATCTTATGACTGTATTTCTGTGGGGTCAGTGGTGATATCCCCCTTATTATTTCTGATTGTCTATTTGATTCTTCTTTCTTTTATTCTTTATTAGCCTAGCTAGTCATCTATCTAATTTTTTTTAAGCAGCTCCTGGATTTGTTATGTTTTGAAGGGTTTTTCATGTTTCTGTCTCCTTCATTTCTGCTCTAATCTTAGTTATTTCTTGTCTTCTGCTAGTTTTGGGGTTTGTTTGCTCTTGGTTCTCTAGTTCTTTTCGTTGTGATGTTAGGTATTTGGTGCTGTAAATTTCCCTCTTAACACTGCTTTAGATGAGTCCCAGAGATTCTGATACATTGTTTCTTTCTTCTCATTAGTTTCAAATAACTTATTGATTTCTGCTTTAATTTCATTATTTACCCAAGTGTC